TTTGGTCTGGAAGTTTGCTTTGCCCAGACAGGTCGTTCGAGCTTGGTTTGACGACGTCCAGGAAGTGCATTCACTGCGAGGCTCCGGGAGGCACGGTGGTGCATCAATGGAACGCATGCCCGGAGCTGTTGGAGAAGCCGGCGTTACCACCAGAAGAGCTACCTGAGGAGGCACTCGAGTTCCGAGAGGGGCGCGAGAAGCTAGTAGCTGAGAGTGGAAGTGATTGCGAGACCTTTTGATTTCACCTACGGTCTCCCGCTGGAACCACTACAGCCTGGGCCACCATCGGACTCGCCTGTTGTGCTCTAGTGGGGAGACTGCTCAGTTGGGTGGAACACTGCGGCGTATTGCGACGCGTCGGGCTTGCACAATGCTCATCCTACGCTTTGTAGAGTGGGCTGGGCGGTAGTGCAGTTGGACCCTTTTACTGGATGGCCTGTGAGGGTAAAATAATGAGGTCTCCCTGGTCTTGAACAGTCTGTCCCGAGGGCTGGAAGAGACGCTGGGCTGATGGCGCTGAATTCGATGAGGAGACCAGGCCTCGTTGTTTCAGACCACTTCAGCTTCGTCAAGGAGGCGAACGAATGGGACGGGTCGTTATCGAGTGCTGCATCCATGTATGCAAGCATATCGAGATGTATTTTCGAGCTGCGCAGAGACGATGCCGAGAGGTGTCCCCCGCCACAAGGACCTGTGCAATTTAGTGGACGGAGGAGGCTGCATGGCGCATGCGAGTGAGAACGCATGGGCGGATGCGTTTGCACATGCTGGGGCTGCGGACATCCATGCGGCCAATGTGTTGATGGAGAATCACAGAGAACTGCTTCGGCGAGCTTGCAACAGCACTAAGCAGTTGGCTTAACTGGTGTCCAGAGCGGCTCGGCTGCACCATGAGCTGCAGGAGATTGCCCCACAGGGCCCCCCGAAGAGATGTGCCTCTTGGGTCTCCTAGCTGTCGATCACTAACTCTGTGCAGGTCCATGGTTCATTGATGGGGTGCGCGACCCGTTTGCATGAGGCAGGCGAGGGCCATCGAGTGGTCCGTTGGGGTCCGGCGGGCAATTGTGAAATGCGTGGTTGTTGTAGCCTGCACATCTGTAAGTACATTAAGAAGCTCAAGGGCCTTTTGTCCAGGACCGCCGAAGAATCCTAAGACATTGGCCATGTTCGTTTCTATGTCAAAAGGCTGGCCAGAAGGGGTCGAGCCTCAGAGTGGGGCCCCAATCCAGCCATGAGTTGTCTCCCTGGAGTTTCGACCGGTGTCTTTAGGCTTTGCTTTGCCGCCGCCACGCTGGAGGCACTCGGCCTGCGAGGCTTCTGCACGGCGAGCTTGCGTCCTGGCGCACGCGAGGCCCCGCAGGCCCCCACCTGTGGCGCGCCGCGGGGACTGTGTGGGAGGGGGGGGAGGGTTGGGCACGCTTTGCGGCCCCGGTGGGCGGGGCTGCAGGGTGCGGCCGACCCTTGGCTTCCGCTCGGTGTAGCCCTGGAGCCCCACCCCCCTGGCTGTGATTTCCGCTCCAATTGACGCCCTCCGCCCCCCAGACGTTGGTTTGGGCCGTTGGGCGGTCTGGGCCTCGTTATAAGCGGATCGGCCGAGGTGCCGATCCCCCCCTCTGGGCCTTCAGGAGCCCTTGAGGCGCCCCCCATTCGGCCCCCTCCCGTTCCGTCGGGTTCGGTTGGGGTTGCTGGACGTGGACGTTTCCTCTCCGTCTCCTTCTCCTCGAGGAGGAAGAGGAGGATTGAGGATCAGAGGGATGCTGCGCTTTTGCAGTGATTGCCCACCCGCCATGTTGGGGCTGCCATACTTTCAGAGGGGGCCTCGACCCACCTCGCCCTCCCTGCATGCCGTGGCCGCCAGGCCCCAAGTCTACGGGTGGCCCCCGGGGTATCTTGCCTCGCCCACGCTGCATGCCGCGGCCGCCAGGCCCCATGATTACGAGTGGTCCTCGGGTATCCCGCTTCGCCCGCCCTGCATACCGCGGCCGCCAGGCCCCAACAGTCCGAGTGGCCCTTGGGTATCTTGCCTTGCCCACTCTGCATACCGCGGCCGCCAGGCCCCATGATGTCGAGTGGTCTTTCGGTATCCCGCTTCGCCCGCCCTGCACACCGCGGCCGCCAGGCCCCAGTAGATCCCCGAGAGTAGACTTGCCGACAAAGTGAACAAGTATATCGTAGAACAGCCGCAACGAACAGACAACCCCACCAGGGAGGCGTCGTGGCGTCACGCCGTCCACATACATCTATAGACCAGACATAGAGCACCAAGAGCGCGCAGCAACAACGTATCGGCAATATACCTTGGCAAACTACACCAACGGAAGACACCAAGAGCAGGATGCATCCAGAACAGACAAACCACGCTCGCTATGAATAACTACACATCTAGAGTAGGCGTCAAGAACAGACACCAAGGGCCGGCATCCAGGACAGCCACCAATAACATGCGTCAAAACATGCACCAACAACATGAGCGAATCACGCGCATCAGGAAGGCACGCGC